GAGTTACGTGCAAGCTACGTGAGCGAAAGATGTGCAGTCAAAACCTCTGTTATCCGAACTATAAGCTTGGTCGTTCTATCAAGGCTTCCTGTGCTTTTCTGTTTATCATAGTGTTATGGATATGACAGCGACACGTGTTGCTGAATAGTTTAACCTCTGTTATCCGAGCTATAAGCTTGGTCGCTCTATCAAGGCTTCCTGTGCATTTCTGTTTATCATTTTGTTATGGATATGACAGCGACACGTGTTGCTGAATAGTTTAGATCACTGCATCTCGATTAGGTAAGTCAATTAGGCTAATGATGACAGCCCGGCGATCAAAATAAACCAGACATACCATTCACAATCAAACTGTCCGAACAATGCTTATAAGAWWTCCCTGAAATTCAAGTATTTTKCCCATTGTTTTATCCYCAATAGGTAATCAAAGAATTCCCCTCCATGCTATGATGGTCGAGCCCCTGGTGYATGAGTTAGCGCTAATGAGGGTTTAAATGTTCGTATGGYCATTTATGCAGTCAACTRTTGATCTCATGCTGAGATGGTGGTTACACAATGAYGCTCTGCATGGCTTGTATGGACGGCGGCCTATGAACAACGATTAGGTTCATGTATCATATCAAACAGTTGTCTTAAACGATTGGTAATCCTAAAATAAGCCGCGAGTATAAAGAAATAACATTTCGTTCTTTCACGCCGGAAGCAATCTTTCGAGGAGATATAGGCTAATAGTGATTTGGAAAAGCCTTAGAAAAAAAGTAGCCATTTTTTTGGATATAGTTACTATTCACGCAAAAAGTGGCTTACGCCTTGTGAAATTTTCTAAGAATAGAAAGGCATCCACAGCCATCAACAATTTTCTCTGTTTGCAAGAAATAGTTCAAAAAGAATAGCGCACGAAGCTGAAGATCAATAAATATTTGGAAAACATATTATGTGATGAAATCTTTGCGCAAATATTAATGACAATAATTAAATCGATGAGTAATTCAGGGTTCCTGTTTGAAGGTGTTAGAAAGGATGCGAGCGGGAACAAACTCTCACCAAAAATCATTATTATTAAATAAACATGTTCCATCACGATATATCATATCATATTCATATCTTTCCATCACGATAGTCTAATATCTACGCAAGGTTAACCAATCACAATGCACCCAAGATTGTTTGCCATGCAATAATTACTCATATTGACCGAAGCTTTGTTCTTTCAAGTGTCGCACGTGAAACATATTAGGCTGTAACGTAATTGCTTGTCAATTACCTAATTGACCGGGGCTGCGTAGCAAAGGACACTGACCAGTCCACATCAGTCATATATCGGCGGGTTTAAAAGGCGCGTCATATCCTGGGGATACATTTATCTTTGGTTTTTAGTATCGACAACGTTTAGCTCTGAAATGGCTTCGTTTAGTATTAGTGCCATATTGGGGAAAGATTTGGGGAAGAGAAAAAGTGTGGAAACTTGTGAATCGATGGATAATTGTCATAATTCGACTGTTATCCGACAAGGTGAGATGCTTCAATATGTATATAAACGAGAGAGAGATATCCGTTAGATGAGAAGATATCAATTCTAGTAGCTTTAGCGAATAAGTATATTTATTTGAATTTTAGATGACAATCAGTGCAGACTCGGCGATGGCGCTCTCGGAGGTGAAAAATGCCAACTAGAAGAAGAAACAGAAACTGAGCAATCCGCATCAGAACAGGATGTTGACGACGATTCAACTTACGAACATAAAACCCTGCTTACCAARTCTCGACGCAGGCGAACAGCCTTCACAAGCAGCCAACTCAAATCCCTAGAGGAGAAATTCCAAGAAAAGAAATACCTCACAATCAGCGAACGAAACAGCCTGGCAAAGGCGATGCATTTGACTGATACCCAGGTCAAAACTTGGTTTCAAAATCGACGGACAAAATGGAAAAAGCAAATGGCGCCGGAATATGAAGCTACGATTAGAAATGAAGAAATCAATGCTTATCATTGTTCGTTACCATTCTACACAGCGGAACATAGTTTGCCGTATTTACCCTCACCACATGCAGGATATTTTGGAATGTACCCTAGTCTTAATTTCTACCCTTCGTCCAACTTGAGAGTAGTCTACTCTAATATGTCATTATATCCATATTAATGTCACATTGTGAAATTGTGAAGCGAAGAATCTAAGCTCTAGGCATGTCCTGGTGTCACATTATTGTGTTGTGCTGAAGAAACTATCTTCACTTGGCCAAGATCGATCAATGGTATTTAATCAATGTTCTCGCCAAGTTGGAGCTGAATAACTCAGATTAACAGACGCAGTTGGCCGCGGAGGTGTGTTGACTCTGAATAGACCTGCCTCAAGTGTTACCGTTTAACTAATAGAACTTGCCTTGGACCAAGCTATATGGATAAGTTTTTATTAAAAAGTATTCTTTTGTATGAACTGAACAAATTCGACAAAACTCATAGTTGGATAACTTAGTTGCAGTTGGATAAGCAGACGCGCTTGCCTCGGAGCCGCTGTTGGTTGTGCGTTGACATTGGTAATAGTCACTTGTCTCTAATTAAGTAACAAAACTGACTTCGACCGATAGGTCTATCAAGGTATACAGTGTATTAGTTCACATGGAAATATTGACCAAAATCGACCAACCCAGCTCAGCTTATAAGACGCGATTTGCTTGACTATCTGCGGTGATTTTTCAGCAATGGATCTGTTTTATAACCAATGGAAATTGATCGAGTCAATGCAATTATAGGGATATACTATCCTTAAACGCGAATGGACACAACAAAGTCATTTATCATCATTTGAACACCTTCCTTCCTTTGAACAAATCGGAGGCTTTATTGTTATTTTTGTGACAATGGAAAATAATCTCATGACGAGAATCGCAGAAACATTCATCAAATTGAACTAATTTTTTTAAACTTCCACTGTACAGACATGTTGTAAAGGTTTTCCAGTTTCACCACTTTTATGAGATGTATATTAACATAAATTTACGTTAAAATAGATTTGTAAATACTTAGCTGAACTAAATAAAGCATGAGGCTAGTCTTTAGTGATAACAAAGTTTAGAAGAATTGTTGACGGAGGTCAGAAACGTTTTCCAGAATTCACTCTTAAACCAATTATAGTTGCTGTTATAGACTAACACAAATCTTTAGGACTTGCACTCACTTGTTCTTCAGTATAGCACGTATTTGAGTAAACGGCACAGTTGGTGGTGTTTTAGAAAGTTTAACTCTTTATCGGAACGATTCCTTTACTTACATATTATAGGAACCTCGCTTCTTTTGCAAGCAATGTGCATTTAAAACTGTGAGCTACAAGCGAGTGGAAAGGCGCTCAAAGCTCGAATTTATTGGGAAGGTCATAGTGGAAGCCTGAAGCCAGCGTTCTATACGAGGTCTATACGAAAACCAATTNATACAATAGAATAATAAGATATCGTTCACATTTTTACATTTCTTTTTTTCACTTTTTATAGAAAATGTCTGGCCGTAAGAAACCGAGCTCAATGCTCTATGCTTTGCTCTTTATCTGCTGCCAGTACTTAGTTTTCTATTGCGTTTGCCTTCTTTCGTTTAGTGTAATGATTGCATACAGTGAAGACCGGCGCGTTTTAGACTGAGGCAGACGGCGCCAAAATGGCGGCCATTACTCAGTGCAGTTATAACAGAAGATTTTGAGTGACAAATTAACCAAAACTTGTTGTATAATAAAATTGCGCAAACATTGAATGTTTCTCATACGGCTTTAGATGCTGCTTTAAAGTCAACATAGAAAGACAAGGCGTACTGTCTGTGTAACAACGAGCCGGAGCACTGTAGCCCACAATGTTCCACTATTACCATACTCTTGCTTTAAAGGTTACAACAAACCTGTTCCATGTGTAACCATTTCAAATTAATTCAGCTCTAGTGGTTTGAGTATATTGGTTTATGAAGTTTATGCACAAGTACAAAATATTTTATCTAAAAAAAATATGAACTGACTTTGCGCATAAAGTTACAACAATTGAAACTAGTCTGCTTAAAAATGAAAATGTTTTCGTATTTATCCTGCTTTCCCTACCAAACAAACTCCATCAGCTCATGTGTCTATGTGTGTCGACATTCCTGGAAGCTGTACGGACGTGGCAGACGTTTTGTTGGGCTAAGTGCATCCACAAACGGTGATGACAGATCGAGTGGAATTTCATCTTCCTCGATGAAGTATAGTGGAAATTTCTGGTTCGACTTTGGCTTTGAGTCTCAATTCGAAGTTTGAAGCTGCTCTTGACCGCTTTWTATATCCGGATCAAGAAGGATTTCAATAATTCTTCACAGCACGTAGCTCAAGAAGAAAGAGTAAACTTGTTTGAACACGAGTCGTGCTTGGATGTTGGATGGAGGCTTCACACTGGCGCGCCGGAGGAATTTTAGTGTAATTTTTGGGCGTTTTTCTATATCAAAGACTGTTAACAAACACCTGACCTTTAGTTCTTTACAAAATGCAATTATTTTTGGTAGCTGTTCTGCTGTCAACGATAGTGAGATCGTTCTATCATATAACATTGATTATGGTTATAATTAAAGACCTCTTAAACC